CAGTCTCCTCTTCTGCAAACTAAAGAGACCTTCCAAAATCAGGCCAGCTGCTGCGGGCAACCAGCTACTTTATAGATACCTTCCACAAACTATGATAATTGTTCCAGAATGTTTCTATCAACAGGTAATTGCACCCATCCTATACACGGCCTCAGAGGCTTAACCTGCCAAGGCCATTCTTGTAGCTTTAATGTGAGTACTGTTATGGAGAAGAAAACCAGACTCTATCATACAGACAAGACAGGAGGACAATGTCCAATGGTGTGCTGTAAACCAGAATTTCTTAGCGGTAACTCATGTAAAAAGCAGAACTTGTACCTCAACAAAAAACAACGCAGGTGAGACTTTGCACTGAATAGTTAAACAAATGATTTACAAACACATCACTCAGACAACAAAGTGGCCTCACCACGCAATGCTGCTTTTTTTAAACAGAGCTAATGTTTACTTCAGACCTATAGGTTACTACATTAAAAACCCACATAGAGCAGATGGAAAGGCTGCTTGCCAGCAAAAGAAACGATTAAAAAAAGCCCTCAGCCTTTTAAAAGCCAGTTGAACTGTTGGAAACAACTGAAAATTAAAACCGCCCACCCTCTGCACATGTATTCTTGATGGTCCCCAAAAGCATCCATTAACAACTCCTGTGCTGGAACTACAAATCCCTAGCACACCTCAGGAGCCACACTAAAGGCTCCATTCTCATTGCCCACAGTTCAAGTCAAGGGGTTGAAGTGGATGTTGTTTTATCCTGCAATCGATAGGGGTTTTTTGTTCTAATTACTTTCTAGAGCTCAAGTAGTGCAGAACATATGGCTGCTGTTTAAGATGTTAGAATGCAAAACTGCAGCACAGATACGGCTCTGTGCAACAGGGCTTCACAAGACCTTTCCTGCTGTTCGAGTCACAGGTGAAAGCTTGTGGCCTACACAGATCTACAAAATTAAGGTGAGGGAATAAGGACATCATTTCACACCAGTCGCCCTATTTTGATAAGTCTGACATAACAAAGGGGAAAGAATGACATAATTTTTATGTAGATGCACTCTCAGCATTAATTAGTAACACAAATTGAAAACTTACCTTCCTATCAGGAAGACTAAAACACAACTTTTCTCAACCCACCAAAACGCACAGTCATCCCTTTTGGACAGACATCGCTCCAAGTCTCCTCTGTCAGTTTTAAAAAGGGATAGCTACATATGAGTTAAATCTTCATTTCCTAATACTTATTACCACAGGCAGCCAGCTGCATTTGTAATACAATGAAAACGGTTTCAAAGTATTAGAGAAGGAAAATTTCCAATTTTTTTTCTTATGTTTTAAATTTTTTTTAGAGGAGGGGGAGCAGGAAAGGTTTCATAGCCAGGGAAAATGTAAAGCAAACAAAAGAAAAGTGAAATTGTTACCAGGTTGATTCCTGTTGAATGATGTCTATTAGAATTCGGTTACCAAGGGAGGATATGTACTAGAAAAGTGAAGCTCACCTGCAGAAGCACTGTGGAATCTCTCCTTGACCGTACAGAGGAAACAAAAATGGAGTATTGCCATAGCGGCCAAGGCACTGAAGAAATTTCTTTGTTGCCTGAAGACCTTCAAGAGTGCTGCTCTCAGTCTCTGAAACCATTGCAATAGAGTGAAGAACGAAGTGCTGCAAGCTGGGTGTTAACTTCTGTGTTCTTAAGAACTGGGCAAATGTAGTGTCCTCATACCCTGGGGAAAAGGAAATCTAGGTAAAGGCTAGAGTGTAACATTTGTATTTTCTCATATGCTTCTATTTGAACAAATACTTTTGCATTTAAATAAACTAAAGCAATTGATTTATTTCAACAAACATCTTGCTGAAAACGGATAATCCGAGTCAATGGAAGTTAAAAAATTTACTCCCAGAAATTGAATTTTCTTAGGAGACAGAAATATCACTCCATTAAAATATATCAGAATAACACAAACCCGTTGTATGGGTCTCCAGCAGTCTAGAAAACAACCTCTAGGTATGGCTTTAGTTATTCATTATGTTAGACTTGATCTAAACCCATTTCTCAACCATGTGAGAAAAGTGAGCAACTGTGGCCAAAAATCCACTGAAGTGCCTCGGGACGCTGTTTTCTGTATAGTGCACAAAATATTGTACCTGAATGACACCCACTCAAGAACAGTACTGCTGAATCCAGTTAATATCCATACCCATGTTGATCTGGTTAAACGTCTTAATCCAAAGATAAGAAGGCAGAATATTTATTTCAAATTCATGATTTGCTCACAATAAACAAGTACAGGTGAGACACAAAGACAGGGATGAGGATGCACAGCTCCCCTTTAAATCTGAAATGTTGACATTCAAAGGAACACAGATCTTCTGGGCATGTTTAGTGCAAGTGCTGCACGGCACTGATACACCTCTGAAAAACTTTCGTTATCTTAACAGCTAAACGTTTGGGGTTTTTTCCCGGAAAGGACTGCATTTAAGCAAGAGCATACTTCCATACTACTCAGAAATCTGCTCTTAAGTTCATTTTGGTAATGGGTAAGTTCATATGTAACTCAGAAACACTTCTACATCAATGCTGAGATGATTATTATTGAGTTACACATTCTGTTCAAGATTCAATCACTGTTTCATTACACATGTATCCTGCTAACCTTTGTGCAGCCAAGCAGCAAGTCATAATATGATTGGGTGTTTTGTTTTATCATTCTAAACTAAAAAACCAAAACCCCTCAAGTTTTTCCTCACTGCAGACTTCTTACATAACTCCAAATTTTACAGAAAAAAGCTTTAAAAAAATTCTTCATGATCATGAACTCTCCTTATTGCCTTCCCACAAACGTACTGATCTCACCAAGAGCAATTTTAAATTTCTGAAGTCTTTACATCAGACCAGTCTGACTCCAAAGACTCCCAATTACCTCCCCAGCTATTTTAAAATGTAGGACCAAAATCTGTTTAACTGGCTCTTGAAGGAAAATAAATCTTACGTCATTTAGGTCCATGAATCAATGGACACGTTTCAAATTGGCGTCTCTTTTTTATTTTCACATAATAAATTTTGTAAATATCACCTATGTTCTTTCTCTAAGCACTTCCATTTCTTCCAGTAGCAGCAAACCTGAAACTACCCGTAATCCATAAACCACTTCAGGCAAATGAGTTTTCCCCCTTTCAGGATTTTCAGGAGCTCATTACAGACTCTCTTTCTCCTGGTATTACCAGATCATTCTCAGTATTGACCAATTCTCTCCTGCATATGTGCAAAATAGTTTTCTCAAATATTTGTACCTAATTTAAGGGTCTTGTTCAAGTAATCAAACCAGTACCTTAACAATTGTTTCTTTTCAACACTAGATTCTTACAAAAATACTGCCTAGCCAAGCTACAAAAGCACTGGTACGCTGCAGTCTGAAACTCAGGTCAGTAGTTCAACCATTCCTCTTTCCTCATTGTTTCTGTTTCATAGATTCTTTTTTTTTTGCCCAAGTTTACTTTTAGACTCCACGAACTGAGCACAGCCCTTCCTTCTCTGTACCCTGAGGTGCATAAACCCAAATCAGACAATACGTTTCCATCACCTTCCTTCCGTTAGCCAATTTTCCTCTTTGACTGATGCTCATTATTCTTTGCACGTTATGGCTCAAATCTATTCAGATTTTCTCTCATCTAAATAAGCCAGCAGTTGATAAAGGCACTTTGAACGTGCCCTCTGCAACAAAAAGGCATTAAATTACATTTACTTGCAAAGTTTAAAAACTCCATTTTCTTCATTTCTGTTTTTGTGGTGACACATTGTGAAGATTTACACATTATCCAAAAAAAGGAAATAAATCATTTACATCACTCCATATTAAAAAGTCGCTGGGAGGGGAGAAGAAACACCTAAAAATGATGAAAAGTATTTTGCAACCTTACTGTAATATATAATTTTGCTGTTAAGAAACATGATAATAATAAATTATGTGGGAACCTGAAGAGCAAGCGCTTAAGACGAAAACTTTAACACTGAAGGGAAAAGGTCACGAAAAGGTCAAAGCACACTTTGAAAATGAATTCATAAACATGAACTGCGTGAAAACACAGGAGAGCTATCAAAAGTGTGCATAACTGAACGAACTCAGAAGAAGAGAGTGTACACTCGTCAGTGAAACACTACCTTGGTATTCATCAGGGTGCTGTTCATAGTCCAAACAAAATGTCAAAAATTTCATTAGCATTCTCTTCTCCACCATAGTGAGCTGTCTGCTGTTGAACACATCTGCTCTAGAACAAGGCACCTGGAAAGAAGAACGTGACAGTTTCAGATCCTCTGGATATGCCAAGCACCACGCAACACTACAGCCTGATCATGTAACAAATATTTTAAATTACTGTTTTTTCTATGGTTATTTTTTATATCTTTATTTCCACTATTTTCTATGATGACTGTAATAAAAGTTAACGATTTTAACAATAAAAAATTTAAAAAAAATATTTTTCAGCTTTTTCCTCCTTTTATTCCCCTTCGATTTCACTTGCGTCCCTGACTGCAGAACTAATCAAAACAGTTGGTTTCATCACCTGTGACCACAATCTCCTGTTGCCATCAGCACACCAATGACTTCTGCAACTTGCGGACAGACAAATTACGTTTATACCAGGAATGTGAAAAACCTAAAGCCTGTGAATCTGTAAGAAGTCAATCACGGTCTACTAAATAGCTGACATGCACATATTTATGTCAATAATTTACTGGACTGCACATTCTTATGTTAGCTTTAAAAAAAATTTAAAAAATAATTATTTTTTATCTATATATATACACATACAGACATATAACAAACACAAATGATTTTCATTCCAGAAATGAAATAAAAAATTGGAATCCTAAGGAAAAACACTAGCTTATTGTTACTAAACTCCCAAGAAACCAATTTCAAGTTTCTTGACTTTAAAAAGATGAGATTAAACATGCGCAATATGTAATTTTACGATACCTGTTCTACTTTTCCTTCTCGGAAGGCAAGAATTCGTGTTGCATTTTTAAACTCTGCGTATCTGCTAACATTCGACTTGATCAGAAGGTCAATTAACAGACCTCGGGAGTAAAGCAACTGCGCAGTGAGGGAAAAAAGAACACGGTGAGTAAACGGAAAGTGCTTACACCAAAAAAACCCCAGTGACACCAAGAGTATTCAATTCATAAGGTGTTTTCTGTAACTATTTCCCAGTACACAGTGCATTAAAACCTCAATAAAACAATACCAGGATGTGGTATGTGTACAACGTTAAACAAACTGATGCGACCACACAAGCGGAGGAGACAAAGCCGTGCACAGGATTGAAAGGCAGAAGTGAGTGCACAGGAGGGAAAGCGAGAAGCTGCCAGCCCGCTGCTCATTCACTTTTATTGGTCTGGGCGTCATCGCTGGAGAGGATTTTTTGTATTGTCACCCAGGATAATTTCTTGGTATTGTACGCTAAATATCCTTGCACAGTGTATTTTACAACCTTCATTTCCTAATATCAGTAAAGTACATGACCCAGTCTGTGTAAATCATCACTAGTTGCTTCTTAAATTACCTGAAATGATAATGTCCCATTTTCTAAATGTAAATTCGTTAAACGCCCTGTTAAGGTTTAGCCATATTCTGTTATATTAATTTATAATCTGTCTACCTTTACTCTTTCTACAAGCTACAAATAAATTACGAAATACCGAAGGGCCAGAAATGTAACTACCAACAGAAGACATATGTCTGAACTGAAAAGCATTGGAGATGAGTTTTAACACCCCTCAGGTCCTGTGGCCCCGAGCAGCAGTATCTGCATGACCACACAGGAATTTTCACGATAAAGGTTTACTGGAACACTAACTAGGACACTAGGAGAAAGTCTGCAAATAAATTTGAAATTTCGTAGTGTCTCCACAAAGCATTTAATAAATCATTGAAGAAAGGTACAAGAAAGGTTCATTTCCCAGTTTCCAGAGGTTGGAAAAATCTTTTAATGGAGAACGTGAAAAATTAAGCATTCAACTTGGAAAAAACTTCCCATTGCAGAGTACACACACAGTCTAAAGCACAGAAGTTAAGGAAAATGTCCATTACACTGGAATTTGCAGGGCCATAGCCATACACTGAAGTACGTATAACGCAGATTAAACAGTATGTAAAATAGGTCAGACTAATAGTTTTTCCTTTAAGTAAAATGCACACTGGTAGGAATTCAACGTAATAACTAATTTAGTCAGCTTGGATGTTATGGAGTAACTGCAATTATTTTTTCTTTCTAATAAAATCTATTACAATCCAGTCCTTTGGTCTGGGTACAGAGAGACAACGAGAGTCCCACAGGAAAATCTCAAACCAAGGAAGCACTCCAATAGGAAAATTATTTTTCATTTTAGAAACATAAAAGATCTGCATGTAGACTGATCCTCCTCGTTTTATTTTTAATGCCATTTTAATGGTACTATTTCAAAAGAGCAATTTTGCAGGTATTAATAAAGTGCTAAATTTCAGGAAATTTACTTTCATGGCCGTATTTCTGGGTTATTTTATGGTCTCTGCGGCTATAAGAAACCACTAAAAGAACATATATGAAATAGCCCAGTTTGTTTTAAAGGTACTAATTCTTGCTTACTTCTCAAGAGTGTCTCCTTTGCCTCACATGTATTGTGTCAGCCTTTCTCAACATTACAGATCTTTTTAAAAATTCAGCATTTTAAGCAAAGTAAGTGTACTTCTATGAAAAAAAAGAGTCATTCGGTTCCTACCTTGGAAACTAAATCAATATTAAACCTTCTGCCTTCTCTAACAATTTGGGAATACGCAATTTTCTTTGGTTCCTGGGCTGGAATTTCTGAGGGTGCAGCTTCAGTTTTTCCCAGTTGCAGAGTAGACTCGCCTACAGTCGTGCTGTGAGAACTTTCATTCTCGGAGGTTGTTTCCGTATCATTCCCTTTTGTCACACTTGCTGCCTCAGGGCCTGCCTCCGGCAAGGCACTGTCCATTGGTGGGGTCTCTTTTTCCGATTCCTGAGCTTGCTCCTCAGCACCAGCGGCTCCAAAGACCGGCAGCTTTGGCAACGCACCAGCTTCTTCAACATCTTCAGCTGAATCTTGACTGATTAGAAACACAAGGGGAAGAAGGGGGAAAAATACCTTTTAAAGACTTAGAAATTTGTTTCACATTTTGAGTCAGTGCCAGAATGGAAAACTCGAGCATTTCTATGAAAAGCATTAGAATTTCTTTATCCTGGCCAAATCAGGTGTGCTATCATCTAAAGAATTATGGTTCTTTGACTGCAAAGCTATAACTCGAGAGGAGAATTTTTACTGAGGAGAGAAAAAACATCCACCACCACACAAAGAAAACCCCCACCAAACAAAAATTAAAGAGTTCTTATTTTACATGGACTCAAAAGACGGAATGAGCTTAAAATGAAAATCAAAACTCTCATGGTAAAATACAATACACAGCTACATAAACAAAATAAATACAGTCTCTAAAAAAACAAAAAAGCAATTTGACTAGGTTTTTCCTATGGATTAAAGAAACCCTTTGAAATTCAAATGCAAAAAATGCATTGAAGTCATTATGCTCAGATATTTTAGTCTCTAAAAAAGAAAAAGGCAATTTGACTAGGCTTTTCCTATGGATTAAAGACACCTTTTGAAATTCAAATGCAAAATATGCATTGAAGTCATTATGCTCAGATATTTTATAAATCAAACTCACCGACAAAACCAGAAGTGTTTTATACAACTGAGACTACTTTGCATCTATTGTTATAGCAGGTCCATAAGAGAAGTACACAATTTTGGCACGAAGTTTATGTAAAACTTTCAGACTACGTTTTCAACTCTGACCTTGGATTCTAATTAGATGTTCAAGTAAGAGCCACGAAGAAGAAAGTTCCCTCGTGCAGCGCTGTTATTTTTATGCAAGTGTTACAAATCTGTGCACAGTAGATGAAGGCAGCCAGTCAAAAGGAGGGACATTACCACACAACATTTACTCTGCATAGTCCATTTCCTTTTCATGACACAATTCTTTAAAATTCCTCTTATAAAGCAGACCTCCACTTTTAATCTCATCTACGCTTTTTATCTTGAACTTCAATGGTATCTACCTCAGAAACCAGTACTTTTGAACTTAGAGTTTTAGTTTATACTACCAGCTGAGATGAATCAAATCAATGTCATTGCAAGTGAAAGGAGTTCAGCAATAATTTCACACTATCTTTTTATCTTTCTACCACAAGCCATTAATGCACTGAATAAACAATTTAATCTTGGCTGAAAACTAATGAACTATGATTTTAAAGGTGACCTGCAAACGCATGGTACAAAATTTCAACAACTAACAGGATGGTTAAAATTCACTGAACAGCAAGGAATTATTCAGTATACATTAAAAATGCTCCCTCACACATCTGCAGCCCTACAGATAGGAGCAGGGGGCAGGATTTCTGTTAAGAGAGGGAACAAAACCCCTGTATCCTTTAAAAGTTGCTCCTCACTTACAAACCCAAGGAGCTCACACGGGCTTGTGAAAATAAGAGTTTGGAATAAGTCTCTCAGCTTGTGCAAAGCCACCAGGAAGCACTTACTCAGGAATGGGGTAAAATATTGCTCTGGGAAACGCAGGAACTGCTTTAAGGAAGCACTAATGAAAGAAGTCTGTTTCTGTACATTAATTATGTCTTTTTGCTTCATACTGCACGCATTAAATGACTATAAAATATCAAAGAAAGATTCAGTACTTTATCAAAAGTTTTTTAAAGAACTAGTCTATGAAAAATACAAACAAAAGCCAAATAAATGTTGGGGTTCTGGTTGGATTTTGGGAGTTTGGGGTTTTTTTTTTGTGGTGGTTTTTTTTTTTTTATTTGGAAAATGGTGTTTGTGGAAACCGCAAAAGCTGTTGCTAGTAATGCAATAAGTAAGAAAGAAGCTTTTGTTTAACCCATCCTAAAGCTTTTCAGAACACAAAAATTCAGAGGCAGGTTTTCTCCCAAGCTCAGAGCACATTTTAAACAAACTTGATCATTACTTTTCAAATAAAAACAAATTTTTGGTTCATAATCCATTTTTTTTCCTGTAACACTCCGAAAAGCAGTGTAACAGAAATTCTGTATTTACATATTTTAAATCTCTGTTCAGTTCCTGTTAATGAATACATAAATCTGCATGATTTGCAGCTCCACACATTTTATAGTGAAAGCCTAAAAACTACGTAATCTGAATTCATGACATCCTTCTTACAGGAACAAATATCCCTGAATAATGTAAGAACTGTCCATAAAAATAATTCAAACTGAACTTTTGTACAGACAACTCTTCTCCTAATTCAGAAAAAAATAATACATCTGCAGACAAATTGTTGTGTAAATTTAGAATATTATCTTCCACCATTCATCAATTAATGGTACTAACAAAGGAATATCTTAAAATGAATGTGTCTTATTAATGCCTTGTAACAGCAACCCCTTCAGATAGGTCAAATGAAAAATTGCCAACCAGCTGGTTAATTTATTCAGCACAGGTGTTCACTATTTATTTTTCAGCCATTTGCCTTTTTTCAATACAGCTTGTTGTAGACACAGTATTCTTTCCCTTTGATGGATGCACTTTGTTCTAAGGCCATTCATTTCAGATTTGCACTGTGTATATTATACTGCTACCCAGCTGTTTATTCTTTCAAAATAAATGTTTAATGGTTACTTCATAGGAGTTATAAAAGTTAAGCAAAAACAACAGAATCCAGCCAGAACATGTAAATTGTCAGAAACACAATAACTGACTCTCTCAGAAAGTTTTAAGTTATTTTGGAAAACTTTCTTGGCTGGGTTTATTAATCTTACCATTCATTCTTGTGAGCTTTTGGGGTTATTTTGGTGATAATCAGGACAGATAGCGTTGTACTGCCAGGCTCAGGTAAATGCTTAAAAGCAGAATCTCCTGTGTTGCCCTGACTCAAGTGTAACACTCACTTCAATAAAGTGCGAAATCTTCGTGCTAAGGGACTCATTTTGAGCCAGTGATCTGTCAATATCACATCATCTTTGTAAAATCATACACCAAGTTAAGAGACTATGAAACCTCTAATGGATTTAATACTGGTTCTGCACAGTGTTTACTATGGCAACAGGATTACAGTTACAATATTCAACCGATATTGCTTTAAAACAAGTACAACATTTTATCTGCAATACAGCCAAGCAGTCACTACTGTGCAATACAGAACTTTAGAGTCTGACTTTCAGATTGTGTTAGTATGATTCGCATCTTTTTTTCCCCACCTATGATGTTTACAGGAAGAAACACATGTTTGTATATGAGTATCTGTCAATGTTTCATTCAGCTACCTACGATATTATCTAAGAGGTTCAAGGCTGAAGTTACCTAACTATCCCAAAGAACCTTCCAGAGATTCAGAACAGTGTTTAGTTCAATCACAAATCCAAAAGATAAAAATGATAAATAAATACAATGAAATAATTCAGTTTTCAAGTGAGGCCCACACAATTGCCATTCATTATTACCATGTTTACATGCTATTCAACATTACTGCTTCACAAGGTTACTTTTAGGTGTTCCTTGATTTTCAATAATGTGACACAGTGAAAAGCTTACCTTGGCTTATACAGAATCACAGAATCATACTTCCATTTAATAATCTAAACAAAAAATGAAACTTGCATTCTTAACTTCTGCTAACGCAGACGTACCTCCACAAACACCTAAAAGGTACTTACCATATACTCAGTTCTAAGATGGTACACTATTCTTCATGTGCTTCTGCAACAAATACTCACAAATGTGTGTTTTTCAAACTAAGCATGTATTTTTTTGCATGTTGTATGTAAAGTAAGAGCTGGCTTACCTTACTTAAAAACAGAAAGAAGGTGACAGCCCAAAAAGACTAATTCTTACTGTATTACCAGGAGACTTCAACCATGCAATTCCTTGTAAAGCATCACAGGTAAGTGCTGTTTATTAAGTTAGATTACTGAATATGAAAATAACAAAGAGCAGATATTACTTTATAATTTTAGCACAATTAAGTATTTTCCAGTTACAGTACTACTGTCCATTTGTGTTCCTGTTATTGTGTACTTATTTCCTTTTACATGCACTTATCAGCTTAGTTTTTTTACTATGAGAAATAGCAGTTTTTACCAAATTAAGAATGAAAAAATGATGGTAGCATATAACTACCTACTACTCATACCACCTACAAAAACACCACCTGTTTTCCACTCAGAAGGAAATTACCAGCTCACAACGTTGGCCAACAAATTATACTGCATCCAGACAAGGTCATTTAAGAAGGATCAGTCCGCTCCAATGAAGTGCAAGTGATTTCAACAGAAGCACAGGGATATTAAGAACGTTTCAGAGGTCATGGGTATTTTTTGTGACGACATGCGATGTGGTAGTGTGGTGAAATGCTTGAAGCCGTAAGTACAATATGATTACTTACCTCTGGGCATATACAAATATTTGTGTATTTCTGTACTTATACTTACTCGCCAAAACAGAAATCTTCTACATGTTGAATAGTGTTATCCTTCTTGCTAAGAGAAATAATTTCTTCATTCTCAAGGATCAGTTTTTTCCAGTCTTCACATTCATCACCGATATCAGCCTTTTGCTTACAAAGAACAATTGTAAAATTACATTTTGTCCTGTGCTATTTGCTCTTCAACTCTAAATCTCTACAGTCCCAAATAATTCGTTGTACCATCTTATATTAAAAAAAAAGAAAGCATCATCTTAACTAAATGTGTTCTTTTCTATTCAGATTTTTTGAGTTAAAATAATTAGAGCTGATTACTTTATTACAATATGTTAATATTTGCACATTACTAGTAATACTAATCTGAAAATACAGTGTTAAATGACATACAAGTTTTAGTTGAGTGTTGAATATAACTTTTAGGTTGATCATATGATCGTGATCATATTCAAAGACAGGTTTGCCACAGTCAGGTTAGTTTCAAATGTTGTTACAAAACCCTTTGAATGGTTGACCATAAGAAAAAATACAGTGATCTGGGTATTACATTAATCTGTCCACACAGGAATCTCTAAATCATATAGCAGAACTCTGAGAATACTCAGTTCTGACATTCAGCAACTTCACTGATTACACCAGAAGGCAGCACTGCCTAATAAACAGGCATGAGACTGAACTGAAAAAAGTTCCATCTTCTGTGGACCAACAGGCTCACAAGGCTTCCGTAAATAATACGAACATGCATTTGCTTAACATAGCCCAAGTGCTCAATCTCCTAAACAAATATCCTCTTCAGAAAATTTCTAGTGGACTGTCATGAATTAGATAAACTTCAGTCATTGAAAGATACACTATCAACATTAATCTTTTTGTCCTGGTTACAGGACATTTCAATGGAAGGATCCGGTAAGTACCTTTCTCACAGCTAAGAAGAATCACCTGAAAGCACACATAAAAAAACAAAAGGGACTGAAACATCAGAGTGGGAAACAGTCAAACAGGAAATGGAAAAGACCAGATTATCATTTACAGAAGCTGCTGGGAAAGGAACCGAAACAAGTGTAGTTGATTCCACATAAAGTCAAGAACCCAAAAAGTATGACTGAGCACCAGGTTGTCTGGTCTCAGACAATAATAAACCAAGCATATCAGAGTCTGAGAATGTTATGTCAGATGAAGTCTTAATCAGTAAAGCTGGAAAGAAGAAGTAAAGAAGAAACCCCTTTGATCTGCCAAATTACCACAGAGAAAGAGCATTGTGACAATGTGTCTTGGAATAAATTATGGAAACATGCAAGATTTAATGTTACAGAATGTTAAAAGAAGTAACTTCGGAAATGTTTACCTGATTTTCTTTAATCCAGGACAATAATCCTGAAAAACTAAAGCTGGCCCAGTTTCCACCATAGTAATTTTTCCTGCAAAGTGAAAACAACAGTGAAACTTGATGGACAGATAAAAGCGATCTTTATCAGGTTTAAAGAAAAAAAACAACCAAGTTTGAGACATACAAAGTATTTTCCATGGCAGACTTCACAGATGCAGAACATAAAAATTGGTATAATGTTTGACAACCCTTAATGAGATGCAAAATTTCCACTTTCACTCATTTGTATGCATCTCTGACCAAACAGACTATAGGTCAAAATTAAATTATTTGGAGGGTAAAATAAATAATGCTGAGAAAAAGCATGTGGGATGCTCTGAGTAGAAGGAAAATACAGGTAAATACCGCTTCTTGGCCAAGACCGACTCTACACCTCTACCTCAAACATGTCCATCACTATAGTGTGGAGCCAAGCCAGCACGTTGGCCAGGTTCAACTGAGTTCTTAGAAAAGCCAGTGCAGGATTTTTGCACCCACACTCCACAGTTCCAGGCTCTGGCAGGCCCTGACTTTGTCACATGCCGCTTCTGGTTGAAGGTGATTCGGAAGTTAACCTAATTGCATTGCATGCCACGTGTAAACTAACAGTGCTTCATGAGGTGGCTAAGCAAAGGAGGGTTAAGTGAACTCAAACTGGGTCCAGACAGTAAAATCCCACCTCTCTTATCCATTACGTCAAATAAAGGAAAGTTCACTCTATTGTTTATCTACTGCTTACAGAACAGATTATGCTTATTGTAGAGTGCTAAGACACTCTGGCAAAATTCTTATTAAACTGCATATACTGTAGGTGGAGCCAAAGGAATTGATTTGTACAAAATGATCGTACCTCCCCAAGTACTCTTCATTTTATATTTACCACCTTCTGCCTTGGAAATATCAGTTTACTTCTTTTAAATCACAGAAAATTAATAGTTCTGCCGATAAGCAAAGACTTTCTCTGCTATCCCTCTTTGCAATTTATCAAGGTTTCTTTAAACAACAGCTGGATTAATGAGCTTTTGTCATCATGCATGCCACATCTAAAATATTTAACAACTCTGATAGGAAAAATCACTTGGCAAAATAAAAACATCACTTCAGGATTTAGCTTTGTTTTCTGGCACTTCAGAAGCATGAAAGATACCAAAAATACCCTCCTGAATGGGTGCCTAATGTTACTGCATACACTAAAAAAAAAACCTAAACAAACAAATCCCCAAAACAACCAAACACATTTAGGGAGGAAGACGAGTTTCGCATTTTTGCATTTTACAGAATAACATGAAGAGTGCCAAATCGAATGAACTTAAAACCTTATCACATAACCTCCTCCACTTTTAAATTGCAGAGATAAGTGTGATAAAAGTGAAAAATTAAATTCAGGTTTGAGCCTACCATTTAAGATGGGATGTTTCTGACAAGGCTTATCTGCACTGACAAAGACTTCATTAACAGTGTCAGCTCCTTTGCAGTACCAGAGGGTGATGCTCTGTACCATGGTGCTTACTTAGCATACGAAGGACAGATGTCTGCTGATCTGACTACAAACTGACCTAAAAAAGTCTTTCAGCTACTGCAAGGCAATAGTGAAGAACATAAATAGGACATCTGTTTGCAAAGACAACAAAATCCAGCAGTCACCGACTAAAGGTGGCTTCAACAACAGCACGTGGTGTTTTAAGGCCACAAACTGGGAGGATTTGGTCTGTACTTGGAGAGAACTCCCATGGTCTACCCTGCAATTTGGCTACTCTAAGGAAAAGGGCTCCATCTGCAGATATGTTCCACTCAGAAACATGAGAAGGAGCTCATACTTACCTCATTATGTAAACGACATGGGTCAGGTTTAAAAAGCACTGCTATTTGGTATCACTGAGCATATAAAGCAACGAGGATCACATACACTAACTGGCTGATTCTGTCAGAGTTCAATCTGTAAACCACCAAGAGCTGCATGCAATTATCAACTCCAGCTCTGTTCTAGCTGCCTAAGGTGCAGGTTAATCTCTTGCTGCTTCTTAAGATTCCACTGAATAAAAAGTTCAATATCCATATATTATCTGCCACTTCTGGGATTTCCAAAAACACAGCCACAAAGATTTATTTTTAAGGGAATCTGCTGTTTTAGTCGCGAGTTTCTTTGAATATGGAATACAATCTGGCTGTCAGAGCAAGCAAGGCCATTGATCACAGAAATCGCAGAAAACACTTGTCTAAAATTAGGACTGGGTTTATTTATAGCAATATAAATTCACGCAAATTTAGAATATTTAAAATGAAAACTTTCAGGAAGAGAAAGCACTATGCTACTTTCACAGAAAATCACAAAATTGTATTTGTGAGCCATCAGACATCTCTGAGATGCAAACGTTCCTCTGTTCATCAGGTGGATTTCCCTTTGAAACCGCTTCTCTTTTTAACCACCACGGATGTGAATCAATCTTTTCAACAAAGCACTCCATAATGCTGCTCTGAAGCTTAATCAGTTTCGAGAAGACAGTATGGCCTTTCTCAAATGGAAAATGAATCGCAGCTGTCCTTCCTTTCCTCTGGCATCTGAGCACCTTCACCAAGTTATGCTGTGCCACCTCAAACATTAATCTTCTCTTGAAGCATCGACTTCCAGAGTTTTTTTCTTCCTGGAATTTTAATTAGTTTACCCTGCATCACATGATGATGAATCAGGATTGCTTAATTTTCTCATCTGAAAATACAGCAGAAAGCAAGCGTCCAGACATTATTACTGATATAATGAGTGAAGTTTTGAGTCAGAATCTTGACGAGGAATTCTGAAAAGAGCTGACTAATGGTTTTACAATTAGGAGTCCTTTGTAACCAAATATTTCTGTTATAATTGCCCTGAAGATGAACTGAAGGATTCCTTAAAGTAATGGTCAAGATCAAAGCCTAATTAAAGCTAAAATATTGTTCTAAAATCTCAAGGACTAAGCTCCTCTCTTTTCTTGCTATATTAGTAAACTACGAAGATGGATATTCTCTCTCTTTCTTAGGGTTATAATTCAATTATCCTCTAAGAACATGAAACATTTTGAAGGTGTAACAGTAGCGTTAGAAGTTAATTTTTCTACCAAGTTAGAGCACAGATGTTTTCTTTTCCTACCATATATTATTTCTTAAATTTGCTCAAAGCTTCTCCTGTATTACCTGCATTCTCATCCGAATTAAAACACTGCTGCTTTTAGTTCACATTTTTCAAATCTCCAATCTGTAGTTCAGAGCCAATGGCAGAACAGCTGAAGTCATTTTTGCAAAGTTTGGGAAATGCAGCTCAAGTGCAGTTTTACTTCTGCATAAATCTTAATTCTCTCTTCTTCTACATTAGTTTGCATTCTTTTTTTCCTCAGTCACTAAACTCATTTTTTCTTCAAATACTTTGACAGAATTAGCAAATCCCAGCCGAGAACACTGAAATTGCCAATTGTCTCCAACTCATTAACATTCTTGGAATCCAAACCAAGAGAATATCTAACACGTCCTTTTGAAGACAGACTGCAATTTGGGAAACCGAATACTTCTGATACACAAGTAGCACATAAGAACAGAAAAAGTATTTCATGAACTATGCTCCTTAAGAGAATTGCCCTTCTCAGTGCTGTGTCACAACAGCCACGGTGTAGCAGTCAAAGCTGGTGATGTCTGAAGAAAAGCTGCTGATGCCTCAGGATTGCTCCCAGGAGCTGCCTGCCTGTGTCTGTCCTGCATTTGATCTTGCAGAAAGTAGTCTCGAGCCATCAGAGTAGCTGTCTTTTGCAAAGGAAGTTACTGCCACATCGATTCTAAGGATCTGAACACAAAATGACTTGTGTTTCAAACCCATAAAGTTTCATGTGCTACCTATTAAGTACAGAGTCACATGTATTAAAGATACCCACTCTGACAGAGTAATTGTGTTTTGGAGCATGAAAAGTGGACAAAGCTTCCTTGCTTGCCAAGAGGAAGGGTTTAACCCAAACAGCTCTTGAGATGCTTCAGTAAAGGAGTGATGGTGGCAGTCACTCGCCCTACATTACATTATATCCTGGGATATGAACATGACCAAAGGTAACTATCCTGGACCGGTTCAGATCATGTTTTACTCTCTAATACCTTTGCTATGAGATCAAATCCGAAAACAAAATAAAACCAATGTTTTTGAAAAAAGATAAAAAGATATCAGAAATAACATTTTTTGCCTAGGTTTCCTTACTGACAGTTAAATAATTCCTCTACTTTTCTTGCATGTAATTGTTCTGCCTTGAGAAGCAACCTTTTCCCTCTCTGGTGGCTGTACTTCTACAGCTACCTCACTTCACAGAAGTTAACAGAGCAAGAAGAAGGCTGTATGTAGACATGGGCTGCATTGCTTCATGTGTTTTACAAGTTCTGAAAGAAGTGAGACAGACTGTCTGGCAAGAAGTGGAACAAGCTACAAAAGCCAGTATCTTGTGGGGTGTGTGGTACAGGACGGGTGCCCAGCGTGCTTTTGAACGCTCTGATGAAACAGAATTTTGGACACCAGAAACATTCAAGTACTCTACAAGCAGAGTGAGATCAAAAAGTTAGAAAGATAACAGGTGTCAAGAAGCAGGACATGAGAAGCAGACATAGCAAAACTGGGCACCAAAGAGGAGTTGAAATCCTGCATCTTGCCACTCCTGTGCCTTTGAATTAAACTCTACATGGAAAGATAACTAAGTCAATGAGGAAGGATGTAGCCAAAACTGTCTACAAATGCCATATTCTAGATGCTGAAAATTAAATACAAAACATAGCTAAACATACTTCACCTCTAAGTGCCCCATTCTCAGAAACCAAACCAGTACATAACTATTAGGAGAAGCAATAAACTAAGGACCAAAAATGGAAAGCACGACAGGCCATGGGGAGGAAGTCCTATGTGTATGAACAATTAGTATGGAAAGTATATTCACTTCAAGTAATCAACTTTTAGTCTTGATCTACCTTTCTTCAGCAACTTCAAGTTTAAACTAAGTGCCAATCTCCACAGTTTAAACTGCAAATTACTTTTCTAAATCACTTAGCAAATATCCTTGAAATTTCACATGTCAACAGCTCATTAATATCTACAGTAAATGTAGCTCTCTGAAAAGAACCACAGATTTTATGTTTATTGAGACAGATAGCTGGCACAGAGAAATAGAGCTCCTTCAATTACTCTTTGGCAGAAGCTAACTTTGGTTTAAAATCCGTCTAGAGGAATTTATGGCAACGTTGCAGTGAAGTGACTATTTTGAATAAGATTAGGTGCCATTGATGGCGATGCTTGGACAGTGTTTATAAATCAAACTTAGAACTTAGTATTTTATAATAAGCCACTTCAAAACTATCTTCCATAATCACCTATGCAGTATATTATGATGAATGCAAACACGGCTGGAGATTAAAAGTAATAAACCGATGTACACAAGGTAATGAGAGCAAGCAAACGATAAACAAAGACTTTTTCCATACACATTTGCTATGCCTCGTGCCTAACTTAACTCAGACTTTTGCAGAGAACAGAAGATTAATGAAAGCAGCAGACCTAACACAAACGAGCATTTCAGTAACCCAAATTCTTATTTTCTTATACTCCGAAAAAAGTTTAAGCTCATGATCCTTCAGGAAGGGAATTACAGACATTGTTAAAAGGTGATATCCTGAATATGAACAGATTTTTTTTTGTTGATGAATTTTCAATTATACTACTACCTCAGTAAAATGAAATTTGAAAATTCGTACAGAAATGAGCATAATTAAGTAGAAACTGTAGGTAACATTAAAATGTTTTAATTCAGATGAATCTCTGGCAAGCTTTCCAAGACACAAGTTTTCACTTAAAATTCAAATGGCGTCAGGGTGGGGGGGTTCTGTTGGTTTTGGTAGGCTTATTTTGCAAGAGCACTAACTTAGACATGAAAAGCAGATGGCTTGAAATGCTTCCCTATTCCTGGGGAAGAGCCTGTACAGTATAGACTTCTTTTTTCTTTGTCTTTTTTTTTCTCCAAGATATGGAGACCGTGATTCAGTGAGCACACACATCAATTAAAACAGCAGCTCTTAATATGAGTGAAGAGCACCTTGGTTAAGAACACCTTGCCCTGACCTTAGCCTACACTAGTGTTTGAAAATAACTCCATAGCAGCAAGGAATCAAATGTGGAAAACTTCATCGTCATCACAAAAACAAAAGCACGTGTGAATGTCAGTGAGCATACTTAAGCGAAAGCGGTAAACAAAACCTGTATTCCACAGTTCTAATTGCCTGCTTCTGCGAGTTTTCTGAAAGGCTCTTCCATCATACCTAAAAACTGGCATGGATAAAAGAAACTGAAGTTCCAGTGGCTAACTATTATTACAGACTTTGATAGCCAATGAATATGAAAACTTGAAATAACAGAAGTGGCCCATTTAACAAAATCTAAGAAGTCTACCGGTAATGCATTAATATGCATTACGCTTAAAATCAAACACAACTCTTTTATTCACTCTATATTTGTTTAATCTGAAATAAGGTTTTGGTTAGCAATCACACACAGAATCGCTCGGTTGGAAAAGACCTCTGAGATCATCACGTCCAACCGCTCCTGTCTACCCCCTAAACCATATCCCTAAGTACCTCATCTACCCGCTCTTAAAACACATCCAGGGATGGTGACTCCACCACCTCCCTGGGCAGCCTGGTCCAGCTTCTGACGACCCTCTCAGTAAAGAACTTCCTCCTTATCTCTAACCTGAACCTCCCTTGGCACAGCTTGGTGCCATTTCCCCTTGTTCTATCCCCCATCACCTGGGAGAAGAGACCAGCACCCCCCTCTCTACAA